TCACTCATAAGTGGTTTTTAGACATAAAGCAAAGAAAAACCAGCTTACAATTCACAATCCAGAGAACCTAGACAACAAAGAGGACCTTAAGAGAGACATACATGGATCTAATCTACATGGAACGTAGAAAAAGACAAGGTCTCCTGAGTAAATTGGGAGCATGGGGACCATGGGAGAGGGTAGAAGTGGGGGGAGAAAGAGAGGAGAGTGGAGAAAAAGATATAGCTCAATAAAAACAAACAATAAGAACAACAACAAAAAGACTCCTATCACTGGGGAACTAAGGCTGACGGTCGACAAATGGGACCTCAGGAAGCTAAGGCAGAGTCTTTCTTGTTCTGTAGGGCCAAGGGGATGGAAGTCGAGTGAAGGGGCCACGTACAGGATAGTGAAGAATCTGTTAGTGACTGGCATGATTTTAATGCCTTCTTCTGCGACCTTGGCTTTGCCTCCCCTTATTTACCTTCCGGGCAATGACTAGACAGAATTTCCTAAATACTTAAGGCAATAAGTTTTTCAGTCTTTTCCAAAAGTTCCTTGTGTGTCAGAGTCCACCTTCCACACACTCAAAAGTTGGTGATTCTGCCTTAACCTTCAGATCCTCTATTTTATGGCGTCTATCTGCTCCAGTGGCCCTGAGGGGATGGAGCGCTGGGGACAACGAAGTGCCACTGTGAGTCGCCACTAGAGGGCAGCGTTCTATTCCAGTCCCCTGGAAACTGGAGAGCTTTCCTCCGGGTGGCTCCTCCAGGACTCTGTCATAGAAGCCTCAGGGAGTGAGAGACCTGGAATGATCTTCTTTACAAGCTTAGACTCCACTTGTCTGAGCCAAACATGACAGCTCACGGCGTCGGGAATCCTCCTGTGGAAATCAGTCTTCCTTTTTCCAATCACAGAGAGGGAAATGCAGTCTCAGCCCAGAGCAGGTGCGTGCGTGCGTGTTGGTAAAAGCATGCCGACGGCGCTCCTGTGGAGGACGAGGAAAACCACTGTTGACTCCCCACCTTCCACTTCGTTTGAGTCTACCTCGTTTGAAGTAGAGGCTCTTTTGTTTTCTGCAGCAAACGCCAGGCTAGCTACACAGTAAACTTCCGGTAATCTCCTGACTCCTTCTCACATCGTCCCCTCCCCTCCTGCCCCAACACTAAGATTACAGATGTAATATGGTACACATATGGGCTCTGGGTATTTAAATTCAGCTCCTCACATTATTGTGGCCAGACTAACCCACTGAGATATCTCCCAGCTCCTGTGCGGCAGAGTGGAGTCTTTGAGACGTGTTTAGGTGAGGAGGGTGGGACCCTCATGAATGTTATTAATGGCCTCATAAAAGCAGTTTTCTGGCTCAGTGATTAAGAGTGCTTGCTACTCTTCCAGAGGACCTAAGTTCAGTTCCCAGCATCCACATCCACATCGGGTTGTTAACAATCACCTCTACTTTGAGCTCCGGGTCCGATGCTTCCTCTTCTACTTCCCCAGGCACCTGCACACATGTGCGCATGCTCCCGCTCATGCAACACACGAGTAAAAAAAATAATGTTTAGAAAGTAGTCCGAGAGAGTCTTGCATCCGCATTCTGCACTGTGGAAACTTTCACCAGAAGCTGATTGTGCTGTGCTCTGACCTCACACTCCCAGCTGTTAGGAAGAAATGTTTATATCCTGCCACAACTACATTCTTCACTACAGCATCCCACAGTGACAAAGCCTCCTCCAGACGGTCCATCCAAACCTATGCACTTTACCGCAGCATCCCACAGTGACAGACTCCACTAGAGGGTCTGTACTTCCGGGGAGGAACCAGTCCCTCTTTGAGTCACTTCTGATCTGTGCACTCTAGTCAATATTTTGTCATGTGTGGGTGGCGTAAAGTGTCCCAGCTCCTCCACTGGGCTCCAAGCCCTACCTATCCCTCCAGGGGATCTGGGCTTCTCTCTAGGGCAACTCATCCTAGGAGGAAGAAGAGAAGACATTTCTCTCTTCATATTACAAAATTTGGGTGAGGGTTTTTTCTATAGCTGTTATTTTAAATGTTGACTTAATTATTGCTTTATATTGTGTGTACATGTGTATACTATTTATTTATATTTATGTGTATGTGTTTCTGTACATGCGCATACCTATGCATGCCTGTGGAGGTCAGGGGACAACTTTCACAGGTTAGTTCTATCCTTCTACCATGTGCATCCCAGGGGTTGATCTCAGGTTGCAGGTTTGACTGCAAGTCCCTTAACCTGCTCAGCTATCTCTCCAGTAGTACAAAGTAATTACAAAGACAGTAATCTTATTCCCGATGGCCCCACCCTCATGACCTGATCACATCTCAAAGTCTCCCCCTCTTGACACCACTGTATTCGGAGTAGGTGACAATGTTGAAAATTAGGGGGACACAGTTCATCTCAAGAGCCCAGGAATAATGACTAGTGTGAAATGGAGTTTACAGAGCAGTCACAAGCGTGTTCTTGGTGATGGCCTCATCACTGAAAATACCCGAGTGAGGGGCTGGAGAGATAGCTCAGTGGTTAAGAGCATTGCCTACTCTTCCAAAGGTTCTGAGTTCAATTCCCAGCAACCACATGATGGCTCACAACCATCTGTAATAATGAGGTCTGGTGCCCTCTTCTGACCTGCAGACATACACACAGACAGAATATTGTATACATAATAAATAAATAAATATTAAAAAAAAGAAAAGAAAATACCCGAGTGATGGTTAGTTTTAACTGTTAACTTGACATTCACCTAGAATCACACCAGAAGAGGCTCAGGGTCTGGAGAGATGGCTCAGAAGTTAAAAGTACTTGTTGCTCTTGCAGAGAACCTTGATTCAGTTTCCAGGAATAATATGGTGACTTACAACCACCTGTAACCCCAGTCCCAGGGGATTCTAGCACCTCCTTTTGTCCTTTTCAGGCACTGCACACACGGTGTACATACATATAGGCAAATACTCGTACACATATGGTGTAGGAGGTCCTTCTGTCTATGAATTACTTTCATTGGTTAATCAATAAAAAAAAAACTGCTTGGCCTGATAGGGCAGAACTTAGGTAGGTGGAGAAGACAGAACTGAATTCCGGGAAGGAGAAAGTAGAGAGAGAGAGCTGCCATGGAAATGCCAGGTCAGACATGCTAAATCTTTCCCTGTAAGCCATGACCTTGTGGTGAACACAGATTAATAGAAATGGGTTAAATCAAGAGGTGAGAGTTAGCCAATAAGATGCTAGATATAATGGGCCAGGCAGTGTTTAAATAAATACAGTTTCTGTGTGATTATTTCAGGTGTAAGCTAGCAGGGCGTCCAGGACAAAAAGCAGGCCCTGTCTCCCTCAACACACATAAAATAATTTTTTTAAATATGGCAGTCTCAATGAGGGATTATCAAGGTTGGGTTGACCTGTGAGCATGTATGTGGGTTATTGTCTGAACTATGTTCACTGAGGTGTGAAGACCTGCCCACTGCGGGTGGCACCATTCCCTATGCAGGAAATACAGGAAGAGTGGAGAAAGTGAACCGAGCCCGTGCATGCATGTATGCTTTCCCTGCTTTCTGTTCCTGATTACGACTAACTCCTGCCACAGCGGCTTTCCTACTGTGATGGACCGTGACCTGGAACTACGAGATAAGTCAAAACCCTTCTCTTCTGAGTTGCTTTTTTCAAGGAGTTTTGCCATAACGAGTAGAAATGAAAGAAACATAACTTGTTCTGAGGCTGGAGGCCGGCATCTGTCTTTGTGGGTCCTCTTCTTCTGCCAAGCTCCTGCTGGATCCTAGGTCTTGGAGACAGGTCCTAAAGATGAGCTCTTTAGAGCCTCTTATGTGGCTTCAGAGACTCCCCTACTCCAAGCACAGACATCACAGATATAAGTTCGGGAACTGTTGGGAGTGTCCTATGGAAGGACTGGTTTCCACATGAATATCCCACACCGTGACTGTTGTTGAGACTTTACTGGTCCCCCAGGATTTTCTGTGGGTTTGTCCCCAAGCCATCACTGCCTTATCCACCTGTCTGTATGACACCTCTCAGCTCCAGACAGACTCTGGGCCCAGGAGCTCACAGAGAGGTGAACTCAGGCCATAGACAGTAGCTATAGCTCCATACCCCTGAAGCCTCATGGACTATCTGCTGTTGGAATGAGGAGCCCGATTTCCAGGCTGGATGATATCAGTGACAGCTTGTCCCATGGAGTCCAGTCCACTCTTCATATTCCCTATCAAATATCTCATAAGAGCTGGGCCTGGTGGTATAGGCTTGTAATCTCAGCTACTCGAGAGGCTTGAGACAGGAGGATGACATATTTATGGCAAGACTGAACAACTCAGTGAGACCATCTCGAAATAATAATTAAAGAGAGGGCTCGGAGTACAGCTTAATGGTAGAGCACCTGACTAGAATCTCCCCGTGAGGGGCTAGGGGTGTGGCTCAGTGGTAGAGCCCCTGCCTAGAATCCCCCTGTGAGGGGCTAGAGGTGTGGCTCAGTGGTATAGCACCTGCCTAGCATGCAGGAGATTGTAGGTTTAATGCTTCAATCAATCACACACCACACACACACACACACACACACACACACACACACAGACACAGACACACTTTTTTTTTTTTTAAGAAAGAGGACAGTTAGCAGAAACTCAGCCATGGTATCACTTTATGAGGCCATCTATGATTTTGTCACGGAGGTGCACGCCTGCAATCTCAACACGAGGCTGAGACAGAAGGATGGAGAGTTCCAGGCCAACCTGGGCTACATCACACGGTCCTGTCTCAAAACCCCAAAATGCAAGAAATTCCTACCTTATCTAACTCAGCATCCCCTTCCTAGATCCTGAGAAAAGCTGAACCTCCTACTGTGGGGAAGGTAGGGCCAATCAGCAGCTGCAGCGCCAGAGATAGAGTCAAAGACCGAATTAACACGTGGGCCTGGTGACGGCAGGGTCTGGGGCCGGAGAAATGTTTGGCCAGGATCTGGGGGCTCATTTTCAAAGCAAAGAGCACTATTAGCTTGAGGAAATAACTTTTATTTTTAAATGATGCTGCAGGTGGGTCTGGTGAGGTCCGCGTCTGTCCCCGCGAGGATACTGGTGTCCACCCCCAACCCATCCAGCAGCTGAAGGGCCCTGGAGAGGACAAGAAGTGGGTCTTGGGAACAGGAGTGGGGAGCCCCCAATCCTGTGACTGGTAGGCCCTCATGAGGCCACAGGTCCTCCTCCCCAGCTTCTGGACCACACAGCGGGCACCTCATGAGGCAGGCGGACAGCGGGGGCCAGCAAACGGGTTGTCTTCCCTCCACAAGCCTCTTTCTCCTTCAGTGGGGATTTCTGATGAAGAGCGACAAGTTTAGCTTGGTGATGCTGTCAAAGAAAGGGGGCAGTTTCCCAGCCAGGGCCCCTAAGCTGTGGTCATGTCTAGGGAGGTGCTAAAGTCCATGGGAGTGGAGATCAGCTGTCCTCTTTGCATAGCGGGTCTCCTGGGGAGTTCAAAGGGTTGGGCATCCAGGACTAGACCACGCCCATTGAACTGGCTTCCTTTCTACCGCCCACCCTGCACTCTTGTTATTCTGTCGCTGTGTGGGTCTCTGCCTATGCCTGCCTCTTTACCTCTCTGCAGGCCCCCAATTCCTCTCTCCCCACACCCACCAACCCACTGCAGGGCGGTGGAAACCTTCGAGTACGCTTGGAAAGCTTTCCTGGAGGTCGACAGCCGGGTGAGGGGCGCCATGGGCCGCAGGAAGTAGCAGGAACAGCAACACCAGTGGTGGCCACATGATGCCCGGACAGCGCGCTGCAAAGAAATGGGTTATCAGTCAGAGGGTCTCCCTGCCCAACCGTCCTCTAGTTCCTCTCTCTTCTGCACGTCAAGCCCACCCATCTGTGGTCCTGGAAGGCCCGCCTTCTCACTTCCGAGGTGCCCTGTGTCAGCCCTCAACCTGATCAACGGTCTTCAGCTCTCCAAGAACTGTCAGATGCGGACAGTTGTGATCCAGCGTGTCTCTGGAACTACTGGTCTCCTCGAGCCCTCTCACAAGCCCTGGCCACACCCCTCATGCAGAGCCACGCCCCCTAAGCCTGAACTGAGCCACCCACTCCAGCCGTACCTTTTAGCCCAAGCCTTGCACACCCACCCAGAACTGTTCCCTTATTCAATGCCCATGCCCTAAAGACTTAGCCACACCCACTCCTTAAAGTCTTTCTCCACTGGCTGGTCACATCCTGCTGCTGAGAAATATATCTCGGCAGAGCTGCTCAGGTTTTTGTTGAACACGGTCCTGGATGGGGGCTGGGCTCTTCTCATTAGTCCTTTGCAGAACAGGTCCCACCAGCACAATTGCCAGAACTCTAGTGGCCCATGGTCCCTTGCTCCTTTCCATGCTCTGTCCATATATAGAGTCCGTGTTTGGCATATATGGAGTCCGTCCTTCCTTCCGTCCGTCTGCTATGTGTTCCTAAGTGACCAGTGGATGAATTCAAATACCTTTCTCTATCACACTCCACCTTTTCCTTCGGGCAGGGTCTCTCCCCGAACCCAGCAAGTCAGCAAGCCCCGGCCATTCTCCTGTCTCCATTCAGCTCAACGCTGGGATCACAGGCAGGTGTGGGACAACACTGGTTGCCTGAGAACGGTTAAGATATGTTTTAACTTATTTTGTATCTATATGTATGGGGGGCATGCATGTGTCATGGCATGAGTGTGGAGGTCAGCAGACAGCTCGCAGCAGCTGTTTTTTTCCTTTCACCATGTGAGGAGTCCCGAGTTGTCAGGTTGGGCAGCTGGGATCTTTACTGGCTGAACCATGTTTCGGGCCTCCTGAAGATTTCTTAAGTATGATCCTTCATCAAATTAAGCACATTTTATATTCACCCCAAAGGAATTTGAATCTTAAATTTAGAAGTATAAAGTTCTCAAAGTTGGGAAATATGAGAAGTGATCCACATCCACACACACACACACCACATATATACAAAATAAATGTAATAATAAATATGAACATTAAGGTGGCAAACACCTTCAAACTCAGCCTTTGCGAAGCAGAAGCAGGTAAATCTCTGTGAGTTTGAGGTCGGCCTTGTCTTCATAATAGCTAGAGCTATATAATTAGACCGTGTCTCAAAAAAAAAAAAGTAGCAACACATTTGTATATGTAAAAATGTGGGGGCTCTTCGGCCCTTTCAAATATTTTACTCAAAACATACCATAGCGGTAAGCTTCAAGGTTGTGGTGCAAGAAGTCACAGGAGGTGCCCCAAAGCTGATGTGACCACAGGAAGGAACTCTGAGCAGAGGTATAAGAACTAGACACAAAGTGTGTTGCTAGACATCAGAGAAGCAGGGCGAGGGGCATGTTAGCAGGTGCTAGCCAGTGCTGGATTTTAAAACCCTCTGTCGAAGGGTCACACACGTGCACAGAAATACACACCGCAGAACACACCAGAGTGCTTAGCACCAGATTAAAAATAGGCAATGGCAGAAACCAGATAAGTAGCCCCTGCAAGCCTCAGCTAAAACTAAATGGTGTACTGATCAACTGACCGCACGGACGTTTCGCCTGTGTTCATCCTCCACACACAATCACACTGTGTGCCTACCTGTGGCGGGGCTTCAGCATCCTCCCTTTACACTGTCCAACAGGATTCCACAGTGGAAACACACCCCTTCTACTACATACATGAGCCTTGAGAGTGCTGGGATTTTTTTTTTTGAAGTTTCACCTTATGTACATCTCTAGTGCAATCATGCGTGACTCTGTGTATGCGCTGTGTCTGTGTGTGTTTCTGCGTGGTTTGAGTAAAAGGGTATATATACGCTCGACAGTCAGTTTTCCAAAGCTGTCCCCTAATGCACAAGCTCCTGTTACAGGGCGGGAGGGACGGCGAGGCAAATGATAATTGTTCTTGCAGTTTATACAGTAAGGGAAGAGAAATGGAGTTTGGCTCAGCACTCATGTGTGAAGCCTCACGACTGCCTGCAATTCCTGTCCCAGGAGTTTCAATGTCACCTTCCGGCTTCTAAAGGCGCCAGCATACATGTTGCACACACACAAACACACACACACACACATACACACACACACACACACACATTAAAAACGAATATCTTTTTTAAACGTTCCTGTTGGATACATACTTGCAAATACCTGATGCTTTTTGTGCTTCCATTTTAACTACTTCAGTGAACAGGTTTAAAAAATTACTGTGTACGTTGTGTGAGTCTGGGCACGCGTATGCCAGTGTGTGCGGGTCAGACGGGACCTTTCAGGAACTGGTTTTCTTCCTTCCACCATAGGTTCAGGTCATGGGAATTATGCAACCATCTCACAGTGCTTGGTGGCTGGGTTTTAAACCTACATTCCCTTGATTATTAATAAGCTAAAACATCTTTTCGCATATGCATTGCTATGTAGACTTTAGTTTCCTTTAGTGATGTGGATGGCCATGTCTTTTGCTCATGTTCTCCTTTTATTGATGAGGAGGTGTTTTTTTATATTCTAGATAAAGCACCAGAAAACCAGAAGTTCCAAGGCCAGATTTTGACTGCCTCAGTACTTGTAAATAACTGCTCAGTAGGAAATAGCCATACACACTTGTCTGTATACTCTACGGAGTTGTCTGTCTATTATAAGAGGAAAGGCAGGCAGCTGGGAAGGGACTAATGTTACAGGGTTAACTAACTGGCTCTTTCCTGGAAAAGTTTAGCAATGCCTTTCCCTTCCTGTATGAACTGCAAGAATGATCAACCTTTCTGTTCAGGAAACTTTGTCTTCCAAATCACTTAAAAAATTTATTCTTAGAGCAGGTCTGAGGCAGCAAACTTCACAGGAGCAGGATTGAGCCAGTGACCTGGGACAGAGCTGGCCTGCGACAGTGAACTCTAAGGGAGCAGGATCGGATCCAGACCAGGGACATTTGCGGAAGCAGGACTGGGGCAATGACATGGGCTGGAGCTGACCTGAGACAGCAAACTCCATAGGAGCAGGTACAGGGGAGCAACTGCTGAGCAAGTTGGCCAGAGCCAGAGACCATGTAAATCTGGAATCTGCGAGGGAGTAGACCTGAGCCAGGACCCCTGAGGGTCTGGGCAAGAGTCTGGCACCTCTGAGGGAGTAGGCCCGAGCCACAAATAGCATAAAATATCTCAGAGTAACTCTAATCATCAAGTAGAAGACTTGTATGACAAGAACTTTAAATTTTTGAAGAAAGAATTGAAGAAGACACCAGAAAATGGAAAGATCTCCCATGCTCTTGGGTAGGCAGAATTAACATAGTAAAAATGGCAATCTTACCAAAAGGAATATACGGATTCCATGCAACGCCCATCAAAATCCCAGCAAAATTCTTCACAGACCTCAAAAGAATGGTACTCAACTTCATACGGAAAAGCAAAAAACCCAGGATAGCCAAAACAATTCTGTACAATAAAGGAACTTCTGGAGACATCACAATCCCTGACTTCAAACTCTACTACAGAGCTACAGTACTGAAAACAGCCTGACATTGGCATAAGAACAGACAGGAGGACCAATGGAACCGAATCAAAGACCCAGATATCAACCCACACACCTTCGAACACCTGGTTTTTGACAAAGAAGCAAAAAATATAAAATGGAAAAAAGAAAGCATATTTAACAAATGGTGCTGGCATAACTGCATATCAACATGTAGAAGAATAAAAATAGACGCATATCTATCACCACACACAAAACTTAAGTCCAAATGGATCAAAGATCTCAATATAAAGTCAGCCACACTGAATCTCATAGAAGAGAAAACAGGAAGTACACTTGAATGCATTGGCACAGGAGGCCACTTCCTAAATAGAACCCCAGCAGCACAGATACTGAGAGAAACAATTAATAAATGGGCCCTCCTGAAACTGAAAACCTGTAAAGCAAATGACACAGTCAACAAAACGGTAGCCTACAGAATGGGAAAAGATCTTCACCAGCCCCACATCAGACAGAGGTCTGATCTCCAAAATATACAAAGAACTCAAAAATTGGTCATCAACAGAACAAATAATCCAATAGAAAATGGAGTACAGACCTAAACAGAGAACTATCAACAGAGGAATCTAAAATGGCTGAAAGACACTTAAGGAAATGTTCAACATCCTTAGTCATCAGAGAAATGCAAATCAAAACAACTTTGAGATTCCATCTTATACCTGTAAGAATGGCCAAGATCAAAAACACTGATGACAACTTATGCTGGAGAGGTTGTGGGGAAAAGGGAACACTTCTGCATTGGTGGTGGGAATGCAAGCTGGTACAGCCCCTTTGGATGTCAGTGTGGTGATTTCTCAGAAAATTAGGAAACAATCTTCCTCAAGGCCCAGCAATACCACTTTTGGGTATATACCCAAAGGATGCTCAACCGTGCCACAAAGACATGTGTTCAACTATGTTCATAGCAGCTTTGTTTGTCATAGCCAGAACCTGGAAACAACCTAAATGCCCATTGGCCGAAGAATGGATAAGGAAAATGTGGTACATTTACACAATGGAGTACTACACAGCAGAAAAAAATAATGACAGCTTGAATTCTGCAGGAAAATGGATGGAGCTAGAAAACAACATTTTGAGTGAGGTAACCCAGACACAGAAAGACAATTATCACATGGATTCACTCATAGGTGGTTTTGAAACATAAAGCAAAGAAAACCAGCCTACAAATAAAAATCCCAGAGAACCTAGACAACAATAAGGACCCTAAGAGAGACTTACATGGATCTAATCTACATGGGAAGTAGAAAGTAGAAAAAGACAATATCTCCTGAGTAAACTGGGAGCATGGGGACCTTGGGAGAGGATAGAAGGGGAGGGGAGAGGCAGAGAGGGGAGCAGAGAAAAATGAAGAGCTCAATAAAAATCAATAAAAAATATACAATAAAAAGACTTATTCCTAATTTTGTGTGTTCTGCACACATGAGTACAGGTGCCCACGGGGGCTAGAAGGCATGAGATCCCTTGGAGGTGAGCTAAAGATGGTTGTCAGCCATTGTGGTTGCAGGGAACTTCTCTCAGGTCCTCTGCAGGAGCA